AGGGTCCTCGGTTCTTACTACCGTGCTCCATCTCCTCGCGATGGATCCTTGGGGAAGTCTCCGGGCTGAGCTAAGCAGAGCATTAAAGTAGAGGGTGACGGCGTAGTTGACTTCCAAGTTGCGGTGGGGCGGAACATCTACTCTTCTGAGAGAGGGAAGCCCTATGGCGGCGTTAGAAAGGTTGGACTGCGGCAACACTAGCCATGATCAGATTCGATCAAAATTAGCCTCTGGGGCTGGCGACCCTACAACGGATTGTAAACTGAACTATGCTAACCTGTCAGAATGAAAGTACAGAACGGGGGCTTTGCAATCTAAGGTGTTGGCAGATCACGAAAACTGCCCGTTGATGAGGGTGAGATAACATCCTACGGAACAGCCCCTGCTGGATCCAAACCAAATCATCCACAAATCGGAGGGTTTTCTTGGTAGTTTCCCTTGGCACGTCTTGTTTCATAAGCCAGAATATAAAACGATACCGAAGTACAGACATGAGGCTGGATACCTAACAGCCATGACACAGAAAACCGGTAGGTGCACACCGGAGACAGCTAGGGGAAAGAAATTAGCAAAGTGTCGTAAACAAAGATAGGTAGCTCTCTGACCTAGAGGGAATGGGACATTGTCCGATTAAGTTGCCTTGATCCCGAATGACAGCCAACCGGGTTCTATCATTATCGGTCTACCAAAGGGCTCTGACCAGAGAAGCTGCGACGAAGCCGTAACCCTTCGCAGATTGCCGCCGTGAACCATCGATCGTAAGTCGAAGCCAAGCGGATCGACCAGTGGAGGGCCAACCCGACAACAGCCATGAGTATTCAATAATTGTAGAACCTAAACAACCTGTGCCCAGCGAATCTTCGTCCGACTGGGTCAACAGGACGCGAACGGTGGTAGCCGAGGGCATTGCTGAGGAGGCGACTGGTCCTTCGAGACCGGTCACTGAACGAGGATGCAGCGCCAGCACCGGTGCCGCTGTTCGTAGAGGGCGAATATAAAAGGGCACACTGCGGTGGGGGCAAATGTCACTTACTGCAGGGTCCTGTGGATAGGTGCGAGGTCTTCAAAGGCCCGTACCGACAGTTGGAATCTCTGTGAGATTCTATTTTTGATTAACAAATGCATGGAACTTGGAAACGTGCGTCGGATTTACAGTCCTCTCGAGAGTTCTTTGAAAGAGGCTGGAATCAACCGAACACGTCATGCAATAGTTAAGTGTCGACTAGCTGTCATGCGTGATCGATTTGTGGATAACGCCCCATATTCTGAGCATTGGCGTCTGTATAACGCGTGTGCAGAAAATAGGGCGGTGGTCGTCCCGATGGACTCGGCCACAACGGTGAAGAAAAGAACTGCTAGACAAGCGGGCTTGGAATCACCTTCGCAAATCGGGGTCGCTGGCAAGCGAGTCCACGAAGCTGAAACTGGAACTGATCGGATTAACGCGGTGATTGAAACGAACACAACTCCGCTAGAGGATATTGACTTGAGTCCAGAGACCCCAGAAGGGCTTGCAGAGTTGCCTAGTACTGTAGAGATAATGGAATTGACGGAAGACGGGTCTAGATCCAGAGGGACTGCGAACGACGCTGATGGCGGGGTTTCCATCAGCGATCCACTACGAAATCGCCCAAGCTCAAGTCAGGAAAGCAGAAATGTCCCGGAGCAAGTAGACCCGGATGGGGAACTTGTATGGGAGAGTCTATACGGAGCACAGTTGAGGGGAGCGATGCGCACAACTGACAGGCCGAGGTTGCCAAAACTTACGAAATTCTCTGCAGCCGAACAGGCTGTGGATTAAATCGAAGGTTGAGAAAGGCTCGGCTGGAGTGCGTTAGCTACGGCATTGAACAGCAATGGCTCCGTGCCAGCGCAGTTCTATATGCCACGATCAAGACTGTAGCGGCTTGTCGTCCGTACAACAAGGCCCGCGAAGCTCACAAGGTATGGCTCGAGAACAAACGTGCTGAAGAAAAGAGAGTACGAAGGATTATTGGGCGAATTGAGACTGTACGCACCATGCCGAAAGGCAAACGAACTGACAAGCAGATCCGCCTTGCGCGGAAGAATTAACAGGTTGAAAAACGTGTCAGCTTCCCAGAGATGGACTGGCACGGATTCCTGAATCACTTTAAAGCTAAAGTTAGATCTTCTTAAAAAGTTGATCTCAGCGTTCGGGTGGCAGAACATGAGCGGAAAGATTAGTCGGAAGATAGCAGGTACATACGGCAAAAGTGTATCCGGTCAGTCAGGGTTTACGCCGGATGTCGTTGCCGCAACGACTTTCTGGTCAGGCCTTGCACAGCCTGGACCAAAGAAATTTAAAAGCAACTCGCCGATCTTCCAGACTTGGAAAGACAGACGTAGTTGAAGAACTATGAACACTGAGCCGGTACTGCTGTATCCGCTGATCATAGAATGTATGAGATAAGCCCAGTCCGTTCAAGGCCACTAGGCCCTGACGGGATTTACAACTCTTACTGGCAGGCAAGAGATTCATGGCGCAGTGGATCCAAACCGCTAGTGCAGAGAACTACTCGATACAGGGCGAGTTCCCGACCTGCACTTATGTGTGGTCGGACGGTACTACTCTATCAAGAAGTGGTGACAACTGCTATGCCGCAGAATTATCGACCTATCACATGCCTGAATGGTTGCTTCAAGATGACCAATGCGGTTATCGACGAAAGTAATCGTTCAACGGGTTCAAGACACTTGCGCTCTTCCCAGAGAACAGATGGCTTTGAAACCGAAGGTGTGGTCGTGCATGGAAGCGCAGTTGCGCGACCAGGCACTACAGTCTGAGATCGGTAACGATTGTAAGACTGCGTGGATCGATTTTTCCAAAGCTTATGACAGTCTGGACCACGACGCGCTCAAGATTTGTAATCCAAACGACTTGCACTGCCGGCACGGGATGGAGAGAGTACCTTCTGAAATCGCTGGATAGTTGGAGAACACAACTTGTGCTATCTGATGCAGGTAAAGTTGTCTCCGGAAAGCCCTACCCAATTAAAAGGGGAGTGCTCCAAGGAGACAGTCTGAGTCCCGCGCTATTCGTCTTAACGACGAGCCCAATTGTCGCTCACCTTCAGAGAACTTGTCCCACGGGTCGTATACAGTTGTATATGGATGATATTAAACTCTATGGCAAGACAGAGTCGGACCTGTGTATGTTAATAAAAGAAACTCAACGAGGTCGCAAACAAATTGGGGCTTAAACATTAATTTGAAAAAATGTGCCCTCTTTGGTAAAAGTATAAAACAGAGTATTGCCGGGTTTGACCCGCTCGGCGACAGAACATACAAATATCTCGGCATTCCCCAAAGGGATGTTGCAGATATCAAACAGGCATATGACGAACTCAAAGGCTAAAACGGTGCAGACCATCGGCGAAACGATGGCGTGTGACTATCTAACAACAAGGCAAGTTATCAACAAGATTAAATTCGAAGATACCGCCTGTAGTCAGATTTGTCACACAATCTGCGCTGGTGCAGCGCGCCTATGACCAGAGGATTATATAATAAAATCACGGAATTGGATAACGTGAGTAAGAGCAGAGTTAAGGAAAGTTCTTATCTATAAAGCGACCAATGTCTCTCGGTTCTACCTGGCCACGAAAGAAGGGGGATTCGGCTATGCAAGCCTGCAGCAGGTATTTGTTGAAGCTGTTGTGAGCAGAGCGATCTACTGCCTGAGAGCTCCCAGTCTGTGTGACATACGGGAGTTCATATTGAGTAAGTTCGACCCTGTCAAGGTTGCTCGCATTGCGTTGGCAAGGAGTAAAATTGACATGGACATCGAACGGATGGACATGGCCTCGGCCACGCGTACCATCAGACAACATTATCAGGCAAAGTGGAAAACTCTGTTCCAACAATCGAAACTTTACCAAAAGTGGGTGCAGCATAAGATCGATATACCCAACTCGAGTAGGTGGTTGCAGAGGGGGGAAATCTCGCCGCGAAACTGTCGAATCGCGGTAGCTGTTCAAGATAACACTTTACTGTGCAGAGGATTTGTGGGGAGTAAGGACCCAAACAAACAATGTCGGCTATGCAATGCTGGGCATTGAGACCGCTAGTCACATCGTGACTGAATGTAGTTATACACCGGGTTCACATGTATATCGAACGTCACGACTCTGTGGCGCGGAATATCTATGCTGTCCTGGCAAAAGACTGCGGTCTCTGGATTCCGCATTACTCACAGCCCGTAAGTCCCAACAGTAAAGATGCCGAAGTCGTGTGAGCTTTACTGGAATTACAAGTTTCCATGTACGCGTGCATTGGAGGCTTGTCGTCCAGATATCGTTCTCATCGATCAGCGCGAAAAGAACTATCCTCGTGGTGGAAGTGGCGGTCTCGTATGTCACACGGCTAAAGCAGATGATGTCACGAGGAAACTGTATAAATACGGAGTGAACGGCGAGTACCAGAGCTGACGGCGAAAGCCGCGGCTGGAACATTTGATCCGTGAACTTGTACAGAAGTTTACAATATGAGAAGTGAACCTCTGCGTAGTCGTGATTGGGGCGATGTGGAGAAGTACTCCCTTGTATGGTTAAAGCCATTCAAAACATATCTAGCAAGATCTCTGGCCGACAGCTCCTAGAGCGGTGCCAGCGTAGCGCTGTCCTAGGAACTGTGCGGACCGTAAGGAGACACTTGGCAAACTAACAAGTGTAATAAAAACCACCCATGCGTAGTAAACCGATCAATTATCTAGCAAAATCGCAGGTTTCAGAAGACCAAAGAACCGACCCAGAGGAATAGGACCAGAGCTGAAACTCTCAGATACGCCAACGGTCCTAATAAAACGTCGTTAAGTAAAGCATCGTTAAGTACAAAACAAAAGCACTGTAAACGCGAGGCCCCCTCTTTGCCAAACTCCGGTAATCCTCGTAGTACGGTGTCTCTTTTCACCCGCCATCATGGATCAGAACGCTGCCAGATCTTGTCCGACATGGGCCGTAGGGCTTGGGAGTACCAGCGTGGGGCGGAGAGCGTACCTGGGTACACTGCATAATCGGGTCTCAGAAAACCACCTATGGTTTATTATTCTGTCTCCCATCTGCAGGGTAGCTTTTCGTTGGGCCATAGGAGCCTAGGGGCAAGAGTGCATGTAGTCTTCAACGGCCATACCAGGGATCTCGTGACAGGTGAGGGATAACTAGCATCAGATAATATCAGTCATGAAATTAGCAACAACCAACGTTCACCGTCGTTGGCAAAACACCGACTAACGATGCTAGTTAGAAAGAGTCGGGTCTTCCCAAAGTTAGGTGCTTGCACCGAAGCCGATCCGCTCTACCCACAGCTCTGCCCAGTGTT